GGTAGAGAGACCGGGGGGCGACGCCGTGTCTTTTGTGGGGAGGGGTGGGGGGGGGGGGGGGGGGGGACGGTTTGGTCTGGTTTGGGGGAGGGTGTTCAAGGCGCGCGCAGTTGGCTAAAGGCTGAAGGGTTGTATCAGGGCCGGACTGGATCCTGGATGTGCACTCGGCTTGTGCCCGTCAAAGGACTGATGATCGGGAAGACTGGGGCGCGCTTCTGTGTGTCTAGTTTTACAATGTCCGAATTTCTTTTACGGAAACTACTTGGGCGTCGGGCGTATTATAATCTCAGGTAACCGGGAAGGCATGAGTTATACAGTATTTATTCATATTCGCTGGAGTTTGAAGCGCAGTTTTCCAGTTCACAAGAATTAAAGAAGAGGTTAATTGGCCTGTGGCAGCGTTAACGTATAGCCATGAATTCCATTCAAAACATGTGTGGCCTATTTAACTTGTGTAGTTGGTTTTGTGATTAGCTGAAATTTTGATGTTTCACCCTCGCTCAGAATCAGAAGTTTAATTTCTTGGATTATGACATGATGTCCAGTGGGGAACCTTTGTGGTGGGCTGTGTGATGTTCGTTTGTTTACCGGACGCTCTAATGGACTCCGCGTACTGTATACGCATCCAAAAGCCAGTGTAGTAGTTATTTAAGACAGTAAGCCTGTATAATATTGGGTGAGATTAGTATCTAAATTTATAACAGTGGGAGTGTGTTCGGACACAAATGGTCGTGGGAAGAAACTGGCTTTTCACTGAAGCGTGTTACTACGCCGCTCTAGAATCTCTTGAGCGGTTCAATAACTCACGATGCCACACCAGCCAACTCCGTCCTCTTCAGCGCCAACATTGCAGCCGTCATCGCAAAATGTAATCAGCGGTGGCGCCAGGAGAAAGAGATGCGACTTTAATCCTGAGGAATCGGGAACGTCGTCTTCATCGCCGGGATCTAGTTCCCCGACGACCCTCGTCAAATCTTGCTGCCGTGGTCGCAGTGAGAGGTCAAGGTTAGGTCATCATTCTCTTGTCACACAGAGATAGCGTGGAGTATCACGCAGCGAGATCGCATCTCCATTCTCGTTATAATATCGAACGAAGTCCGGCAATCAAGGAATGCCGCAGCTGCGCACAAATATATCTGTGACGTCAGTGGATTTCACCATCTCTCTTCCCCTTTAATGGCGTTTATTGATCTCTCTTTATTGCATCTGTTGGTGGTGAGTGCTCAGCAAACAGAATGCCGTAATGAAAACAGCCTATAAAGCAAATAAGTCCAATTTATAATCATATAAAATATTTTCTTCTCTTCTCTCAGATTGTTGCTCAAAACATTGGTGGATTCCATGATGGTGTCTCCTCGCCTTGTGGAAGGGTAAATTTGCATTAAGAACCATATTGCCTGCAGTAGTAGACATATAAGTCGCATGCAGGATGTTTGTCACCTGACACGTAGCGTGTGAGGTTAATTAAGTGATGCCTCTAAAACTTCGAACATAATTAAAAAAATCACTGACCTAGTTAGAGGATTCGTACTATAGAATATAAGCATGCAGGAAGTCTGATACTTTTATATTTAATCTTCCAGAAGAGAGAGAGAGTCTGAAGCTGCCTTGGTTATATTCTAGCAATATTAAGATCGTTCCAATATCTTTTCTTTCTGAAATTAATTTAAAACAGCTTTTGTAATGCGCTTCTCCTGACAAGACAGTAAGATAGAGACTGTATTAACCTCTCCCCCATTTTCAATCTGTCTTAATGCCCCATGCAGTTGGTACACATTGAAACATTAAGGCTAGATGGTGGTACTTTCAGTACAGAATTCAGTGTTGCTTGATCGTTGTCTAGTGTGTTATCATTGTTTCTTCAGCGTTGCAATCCTATATCAGCTGCAGAGGTGAGGTTCATGATGCTTTACTTAAGGAACTCACCTGGAGTTTACCTAGAAGCATCTGGGAAATCTGTACTGAGGATAGTTGGCAGCCAGCTAGAATTTAAATAAAGTACTTCCCACAGATAAGTAAATTACATTTCCTGTGAGCAGACTGATCCAGTTAGTAGTACATATCGTGTGGACTATATTTAATTTACATATGGTCAGTTGACCTAATCCTTCCAGCCACAGTAAGGCCCTGGGGTCGACTCAACCTCTAACAGAAATGAGTACAAGGAATTAATTAAATAATTTTCCTGGGGAGTAAAGTGCGGCTGGTGCGTAAGGCTGACAACCTTACCGCCATCTTTGAGCCGATTGTCTAGATAATGTGAGACCCTCAACGTCTCACAACCCTATGGGCCTCCACGGCCTGTTACAGGGGTAGCTTTACTTTTTTACGGTTTAGGAAGTGTATGAGGTTTCAGTTGGCCATGGACATGGACATATTTTCATGTTGTCCCTGCAATTGAATCCTTTAGTGTCATAAAGTGGTGCTTGACTGTTTACTTCAGCATGCCTCTCTTCAAGATTATCCCCTCTCATACACTGTTTCACACTTAGACAATTATTAGATTCAGAGCGTACATGGAGTGTGACATGCAGATTGGTATGTGTTGCCCTGTGTTGCAGGTTGGTGAGTGGGCGGCCAGCCGCGAGAGTGTTGAGGTCACGAACTGGAAGTACCCCTGATTCCCCTCGCTCTTTGGATCCGAAAGCACGTGTTGCAGGGAGTCCTTTGAGGCCACCAAGGCAGGTGTGTATGCAGCAGAAATACATTGCATGTATCTTCTCAAAAATTCATGAAGGCATTTAACACATTTTTGACCCAGCTAAAAATTTGTCACACTACCCAGTCAGCTTCAAGAACAAAAGTTTTTCTACTGTATTTTTTAACACACTTTGAGATTTAAGTAAGGTATTTTTGTTAAACTCCTCTCTGTTAATACTGTGAGTGTGTGTGTGTGTGTGTGTGTGTGTGTGGAGGGGGGGAGCACCCATGTGTGCGCGTGTGAGAGAGATCTAGGGACATACATATTGCATTCCAAAACTCCCCTTTTTATTTAGGAGTTATGAAAATATGTAAATTCATAAAAATCTCAAGATTGATTTATTTTACCATCATAGTACTTTCTTATGCTACATGTATGGGAAAGTAAAGACATTTTGGAACCTCCCCAAAGAAAAGCAGTTTTCTCCTTTCCCACCTTCATAATGCCCAAGAACCATTCATCTTAGTGTACTGAGGTTTTCTGCCTTCACTAGAACTTGAGAAAACAAAGAAAGAAAATGTAAGATTTGAGGCTTTCACGGCGGTGACTTCAAAGAAAGAAAAGCCCTGCCTACTCCACATGTGTTTCTTACAGCTTTTGAGATGTTCAGTTTTCAGTTCTCCAAAAATAAATGACAGTTTTTAATTGAAATATATTAGTTTGTTTCTTACTATTCTTTTACTCATATTAACATTATTAAGATCAACAGTATGACTATTCAGTGTAATACACTTCCAAATTATATACATGCGCATTGCATCCAGTGGATCAGCTAATATGTAACAACAGGTGATGGAGCATAGCCCAGTGGTTATATGTGTAGGAACATCAAAGTGACACAGGTTAGTTTCTTCAGTTATGAGGATGTTGTGCGCCATGACACAAAGTCAGACTGGTAGTCAACATTTATATTTACAAGTCCTGATATGTCTTCATAATATATTGTGTAGGCAACTGCAAAAATGAGAATCTGGTGAGTGACATATTCACCATGTCAGTTTCTGCTCACCTTAATATGTGCAGCAGTTTATGGTTAAACATGGTATTCTGCAAGCAAGACAGTTCTCAAGAACTTTGAAAAGCAAAAGGCCTGAGAATGTGGAAACAGTGGAACACAACACAACTGAAAATTGTGTTTAGGAGAGGGGCTTCGATCACTGGCAGGAATTGTGGAACAGATGTGTATGTACTGAATCTGCCGACTTTGAGTGGAATTAAAATAGGCAGTTATTTCTTTCCCCCTTATTCTTGTCTGTCAAAGGCTTGTCATTTCCCATTGAATGTCTGAAGTTGACATATTGTCATCAAACAATGTACAGTAACATGGTACATTGAAGTACATGTCATTGCTTCCTTCTGTATCCTTTCTTGCCCATAATTCATATCAATCTGCAGTTTCTCATTGAACCACAACAGATGGTATAGAATTGTTTATAAACTACAAATAAACATGTATATGAAGTATTTGGCATATGGAAATTCTGCTTTGATGTCAATATTCTCTTGTCTTCTAAGAATATGTCACATGAAACTTACAGTGGCAAGCATCCGTTAGATCAGTCATGACATATATGACATATCTAATTTTTATTGCTACATACAGCTGCTGCTTAGTGGCAGAAGTGTTTAACTATACTGGAAGTACTGGTTTATGTTAATATTTCTCACCTTAACAAAGGGGGGAATTGACAGGATTTTGGACAAAATTGCAAATTGAGGAGGATCCTCTTTTGCATTCCTTGTGAAATATTATTAGGATGATATCAAGGAGAATGAGGTGGGTGACACATGTAACATGCATGAGACAAAAGAAAAATGCATACAAAGTTATGGTAGGAAAACCGGTAGGAAGGAGACCACTTGGGAAACCTAGGCATAGGTGGTAGGATGATATTAAAATAGATCTTAAAGAAATAATATCGAGGGGTGTAAACTTGATTCACCAAGATCAGACAGGCTCTTGTGAACATGATAATTAAGATACGAGGATCGTACTGAAAGTCATGAGCAACAATTTTTTTGTAAAATAACATGCTTTATTATTGACAAACCAAGTACACCACCTCAATCTACAGACCTTTCTTTATTTTTCCACCTAATCGCCACTTCTTTGTACACATTTCTCCCAGCGTTCTGGGAGTTTGAAAATTCCCCTTCTGTAAAATTTTGTTCCATCCATCCAAAGACACTGATGCACTGCTTTCTGAATTGCCTCCCTTGTCTCAGAACGTTGTCCATGCAGCTGATCCTTCACAAATCTGAAAACATGGTAATCGAAGGGTGCCAGATCAGTGCTATAGGAGGGGTGTGGAAGAACTTCCCAACCCATCTTTGCAATTGCTTCCAATGTGAGGCGAGCGGCGTGGGGGTGAGCGTTGTCATGCAGGATGATCATGTTTCGTCCCGGACGTTTATCACGCAATGCACGATGGAGCTTGTGCAGTGTATGGACATAACGAGCAGCATTGATGGTTTGCCCAGGTTCCAGGAATTTGGCCAGATAAACCCTGCTGCATCTCAGAAGACTGTGCCCATCACCTTCACAGCTGATGGCACTGCAAATGGTGCCATTCCATACTCTGCCATTTCATTTCAGGCTTGAAATGGTGAAACCAGCTTTCATCACCTGTCACAATACAGAGCAAAAAATCATTGCCTTCGTGTCGATGTCTCTGCAGCAGTTCTGAGGTGATGGCTTTTCGCTGACCTTTGTGGTCTTCGGTCAATAACTGCGGGACCCAATGAGCGCAAACTTTCCTACAGCCCAAGCTTTCAATCATCTCCTGTACTGCACTGTGCTCTATTCCAAGTTTTCGGGCTATTGTGTCCACAGTCACATGCCTGTCATCTTGAATGATCTCATCCACTCTTTCCTTGTTGCGTTCAGTTGAGGCTGTTTGAGGATGACTGCTCTGAGGCTCATCTTCGATGCTGGTGTTCCCATCCTTAAAATGTTTCACCCATCTTTGAACACTGCTCGGACCCATGCACACACTTCCATAAGCACGCGGAAGTCTCTGGTGAATTTCTGCAGCAGGGATTTCCTCTTTCGCAAGAAATTCGATGACAGCACACTGGTGAAATGACATATCGTGGTAGGCCATTTTGTTAGGAGTGATACTGGTCACATGATGCAAGCTGTTGACGTCACAAGACACTCAAGGTTAACACAACAGCTGGTTCCACCTACCACCGTACTCTCTTTCATCTGCTGTTCCCAGGTTGCATGCGAAAAAAAGTTGCTCATGACTTTTGGTATGACCTACATAAAATATTGGAGGTCTCTTGACTAGCTGAGCAACTTTTGGCTTCCTAAGATGGACTTTGCTCCAGTTGGTTTGGTTGTGGTCAGGTCAGGTCGGGTAGGTTGATGTCAGTTGGTCAGTCGAGATGACGCAGCAGTTGCAGTGTGTTTTACTTGAATATGTTCAGTAAAATAACAGTAAAAGTATCCCTGTAACAGGCCGTGGAGGCCCATAGGATTGTGAGATGTTGAGGTTCCCACATTTTCTAGACCATCGGCTCATAGATGGCAGTAAGGTTGTCAACCTAACACACTGGCCGCCCTTTACCCCCAAGAATATTCCTGGTACTCATTTCTGTTAGATGCTGAGTTGACCCCAGGACCATAGTGTGGCTGGAAGGTTTAGGTAAATTGAAAAAATCCTATTTTAAATTGTTTCATTTTGGTCCGTTACACTATTATACATAAAATCAATACAAAGTCCGTCGAGTGTAACAATGTCCCAACATCGGGACAAATTAAGAAGCAGCCTAACATTTTTATATTTTACTTTAAAAGTCTTAAACTTTTAAATATTTTTTAAATATTTTAATAGTGATGGTTTAACGCGAGGACAACTTCGGATGGAATGCGAAGGTTGAACGTGCATTCTGTACGTGCATTCAGTACTCCAAGCTAGTGTTGTGCTTTTACACATCGATATTTGTAGCAGTGCCCACACAGCATATATACTGTGTACAGTTAAACAACGCCAGTGTTTTTCTTGTTAGTACTGTGTGCCTCTGAAGATGGTTTTACTAAAACCGAAACATGTAAGGCAAGAGTGAGAAAGAAGTGACCATAAAAAACATTCTTACACTCGACAGACTTTGTATTGATTTTATGAAAAAATCCTCATTGGGATTCGATCCTGCGACCTTCCGGGTTGTAGCATACTGCCTCAACCAACTACACTACTGCATGCCCCAGAATACATTCAGATTCAGTTAAAATTATATGGTACTTTTACATATGTAGAATTTTTTTAATGTGACACTGAATGGATTGGCTTACAGAATTTTAAATTTTGGATTTTGTGCTTCACACACACAGGTGACTCCAGGTTCTGAAACAGAAGACAGCAGCCTGAGGCTAGATCGAGGCACCTATCAGTACATGTACCAGGACATAGTGAACATCAAGACCATGCTTCTAAAGCTGAAGAGGGTCTTACAGGAGGTATGTCAGCGTTGGCATGAATGCACTGTTACTTTCACAAACACAGATAAGCAGGTGGAATAAGCACACACAGAAAGATGGGTGAGCAGAATTTGGTAGCTTTGACAGTAAGTTGCTATCCTCCCATACCAAAAATCTTAGGTCCGTTACCCAGTAGAGTTCATTTCATGTTTTTTTAGCTTGTCTCTCTCAGCCCTCTCTGTGTGAATACCAGACTTCCACATTAGGTTTGAAGCGACATCAGAATCTTGTATACTCTGCACCCCATCATTGTAATTTAGAAATATGGTGTTCCCAGTTGGTATTAAGTAGAGACTAACAATGACAGGGGCTGGTAGACGTAGGTAGATGATGTCATAGTTCCTCCAGCAGTGCAAGAGAGTTTTGTAAAAGATTTATATTTTGGATTTTCATGTTTTTTTCTTCCCTGATTTGAAAAATTGAGAAGAACTGATGGTGATTCATTGCAGCAAATAATGCAGAACAGAACTTGTGAGATGGTGTACAGGAATGTTCTGACCATGATGATGAGCATATTGAACATGCTGTTTTAAAGAAATAATGTATAGGTAATGGACTGAAGTAAACAGATTTCTTGCATTTTAAATTAAATGTTCTGTTTATTAACCATTTGCCTACAGCAGCATTGAAAAACAGCCTGTCCCACTGATGGTCTCTTTGTATATCTCATTATGTACAGGGAGATTGAAAAGTCGCGCACATCAAAATAAAAGTTGTTATAAATTGTATTGCTTTTTTTATGTTTGGTGGGATTGTCCAAGTCTTTAGGTGTTCTAAAACACTGTGTTAACAACATTTCCTTGTATTCCTGTATTTATTGCTTTCTAATATTTGACATCATTATCTATGTGGGCTGTAGTTTGCTATCACTTTGTTTGTTATGTGTAGCTCTCACTGTTGAGTATGTGTTGGCACAGCATGAATTTACTTTGACTCATTTGCACATTAATTTGGCAGGGCATGTCATGTGTTTTAGAAATTAATTAGTTCTGTTAAGAACTACTGTAGTTTGTCTACTTTTGCTTTTAACAGTTCATACTGTGTTCAATTTGATATATGGTATACTTTCATGTGGGCATTCCTGTGGATCTTAAAGAAGTAGGGTGTGAGAATGGATTGATCTGGATTAGGACTGGGTCCAGTGGTAGGACCTTGTGAGTATGGTAGTAAAATCTTAGGTTTCCTAAATCAGCATGACTGTCACCTTCTCAGAAATGACTCTGCTGCAAGGAGTTGGTCATTGCATTTGATACCAATCCTGTCCATGAGGTACACTGCCTGTTTGTCACAACACCTGGAATTATAACCCCCACCCCAACCCTCCATGCCAAACACAGTAGTTATATTGGCTATGTGGTTGATATTATGATAACCTTTATGGTTGGATGTCAGTAAGCTGAGACAAACTGTTTTAAAATATAGTAACATTTGTTAAAATGTCACTGCTGTTGTCTTTTACATAGCCCAGTTAACAAAATAATATATATCATGGTCATATCTGTTTTATAAAACTTTTATTGCTGTAAACTTTGGTACTTGAAACATCAGGGGATCATTCGTTCGCCATATTAGTACTGTATAACACATTTAGCATTTTTGTATATGTTTATAATCTCACCATAACAGTTTACACATGACGCTATGCTTTTTTTACTTCTCCCACCCTCCCATGTCTAGTGCATACAGACCCAGTGCCCATGTAAGGATATGAGGAAATATTGAAGAAAGACGTATTGCTGAAGTGTGGTTACCTATGAGGTAGATATGCTCCCAGTTCACAAGAAAGATGAGAGAGAAGTAGAGTAAAAAAGGTATCCCTATAACAAGCTTTGGAGGCCTGTAGGGTTGTGAGGTGGCAAGGCTCCTACATTTTCTAGACAGTTGGCTCACAAATGGTGGTGAGGTGATGAGAGAGCAGTGGTGGTTTAAATTGTGAATGGGCTTCATTGATCATAATCATTGTATTTTGACATAAAATTTGTTACAGTATGAGATTGTAAATATGCCTATAAAGCCTTATGCTTTAGGTAGAACAGAGAAATAATATATAGAGTTATGTGGGTATTTCCTGAGCCAAAGGAGTACTGATGGTCTGAGAGGCAGGTCTGTGGTTATTGTTTTCATTTTACTAGACTCTTATATAACCCATTATCCCAGCTGCAGTGTGCACTGCCCAAACAGGATTAGCCTTTCTATGTATGTAGGTCATGTGTTATTTGTTTTTAAAGGATATTCAAAGGACAATATTATGCGCTCATGGTGTTATATTTTCTTAACAACCAGGAAAGATTGCATTTCTCCCTGTTCTTTTTTTTTTTTTTAATTTATAATAGCCTAGTGAACACTTGTTAAGGTGACATAAAATAAAATTGTAAGATTTGAGGTTTTCACGGCGGTGACTATGAAGAAAACAGTCTTCTGTGATGTTGCGCCGTGTAGATATTGTGTTAACCGACATTTTGCAGGATTGTATCTACCCTGAAGATGGAGGCGATACGTTCCTACGAAATGTCGGTTAACACACTATCTACACGGCGCCACATCCCAGAAGACTGCTTTCTTCATAAAATAAAATTGCCTGCCATGAGGGATCATAATCATGAATTGAAAGTCTGTTATTTCTTTTGTTTTTGTCTTGTTGCCCTGTTGGTTGTCGCTCGATTGTTGTGGTGTGATGCTGCCATTACCCCTCTCTTGGCAGAATGAAGAGAACAGTTTGATGAGGGTAAGACACAAAACCCAAAGCTGTCTCAGAGGAGGTGCAGGTACTATAGATGGGCTTGACTTACATGTAGAATTAAAGTGGCTTGAACTATGCAGAATAATTTTCTGTTTGACCTTTAGGAAACTATGAATTGCACATGCTCTTATTTCTTCCAACTAAACGAATAGGTGTGTTTCAAATGCCATTGGAACATTGGCTTTTATTTCAAACTTTGAACAGATAATCCAGATACACTAAGATTCTTTCCTGAAGAACTTGTATCCTTGTATAATCTTGAGATGTAAGAAGTAATATAGCCAGCTGTTGATCTTGTTAGAAATTTCACTCACTGTTTGCAGTTTATTTTTGTCTTGTCTTACTATCCACATTTTGAAACAGATGAACTCCCTTTTTTTTTTTGTATAATTTTATTCTGAAAGGTGTTCTATTCTGAACTACCAGTGTATTATTTAAAAGACATATTGTAAAAATTGTAGAAGATTTTTAATCTGTATCAGTCTTTCCTTGATAAAAAAGTACAAAGTCCCAAACAAGCCATATATGTGTGTTCTGACATTTATGTTGTCAGCTATAATTTTCCTGCTTTATCATTTTTGGTGTGCATCTTGTCAACATTTTGAGAGTGAAACTATGTTGACCAAGGTGTTACGGTTTTCCTTAGCCTTTCCATAAAAGTTGGGGGGATGCTTAAAATAGGTTGCAGTGGCTACCAACCATGTCATTTCCAACTCCATTATTCAGTGATCATGCCATATGTCATTCAGCACTATTTAAGTAGTACAGTTGATTGAGAACTATTAAATAAACTGAAACCCAGTTATGCATTATGTCCAGGCCTAGTATACGTATAAATGCTTTATCCTTTCTTATTTATGTTTCTGATAAACATCATTTGTCTTAAGCAAGTGTACATGAGAACCTCTGTCATAAGTACAAGTGACATATGCCATAAAGTAATACTTGCACGCTGCATAGTAGTTGCACTGTCAGGACATCCAGTTGCCTTCTAATAGCCATCTGTCAGTACACTTCATTATTAATCCTTGCTGACTATTTATGATACACATCATTCTCTGTTACATATCATCTGCAATTGAGCAGAAATTATGAAATACTTATCATTTATTTAAAATAATGCTGCATGTTGCTTCACTTTTTTGCTATGTCAGTTTCATAATAAATTTCCCAGTATTGGTGTTTCATATTGCATGACGACTTTGAGTGGATCATTTCCCAACATTTTGGAATGGTATTGCAGGAAAATGAATCCTTGAATCATAGTTTTATGTATATTTTTGTATTAACATAATGGTCAAATATCTGCTTCTTTGTTACAACACAAATTGATATTCTCAGTTATGTATGGTCAGTTTATTTTATAAAATTTGTGTTATTTCATTTATATGTTGTTATATTTTAATTTCTTATGAATCAAATATACACAAATGTTATATATTATTTTTAGGAGCAAAATATGGGTCCACAACTGTTAATAATGTAGGTCTTCAGTATTTTTTTGTAATTCTGTAGTCATAATCATTTTTTATTTTGCAATTTCAGGCAGAAACTCTCAACCCATTCGATGGAACATTGAAGGTGAGTATCACAGCAAGAAATTTTAAGTTTGTAGTCAATTCTTCCTCTTCTAGAGGGTAAGAGAGTCTTGTTATGTACCATTGTGTTTCTCTGAGCATTGCTGTTATTCGCATTACTAAACCAATTAACTCATTTTAATGAATCTCACTATGAAGAACATGTGATAGCAAGCTGCATATTATCTCTTTACATTCAGTGTCAACAGCAAGCCAGTATGGCAGCTATACAGGGTCTTGAGATGGGAGCTATCTATGGTCGTTCTTTGTAGATATCCTATTATTTTTATAAAATCAATCCAAAAATATACATTTCTTAAGGCAGTTTTTGTGGAAGACAAGAAATGTGTATTATGATTAGGCTATGTGCTGGACAGCTGATGAATCAGCGTTTGATTCTCGACAGGGTCAGGAGACTTTTTTCTTCTCTGCAGCATTTAGAGTGGTTCTTAATGTCTGCAGAGATTAAGAATGGATGGAACTGTGCTGTCACTCCCTTAGATGTTTTCATGGCATAGTCCTTGATTTAAGCATAAGGACAACTTAACCTTTATGCACATATTAATTTTAAAGTGATAACTGAGGGATCATTTTAACTTACCCTAAGAGTATACCAGTGTTCAGGGAATTAGTGGGGAAGTCTTTAACTTATGCATGGAGGGAGGCCACTCTGATCCCATGTTGGTATTAGATTGTGAGAACCTAACCTTTTGATTTTTCCAGATGGCTTCAAGTGGCATCTCTTTTATGCCATTTTTTTTGTGAAAATCAATTAGTTCAAAGATTGAAACAGGGCGCACACACACAGACAGGCAGCATAGTGATCTCCTCTGTTTTTCCCAAAGAAAACAAATTAGGCTAATTTTAAAATATTCTGGTATGTAGACCTGTTGCTAAGCCATGACTATAAAAAGCTGTCATTGCTAGCCCGCAATGTGCACACAACAGTAGAACAACGGGGTTATGCAATCGGTTTCTGAGCAACGGCTTAGTAAACGTGATTCCACAGAAACAGACATCCATGCAACAGTCGAGGTATTATTGGACTATAACAATGGAAACAGTGTTTTTGATGTGGTCTGCACCGAGGAGTTATCTTGAAGACAATTAAGTTGACCAGTTCAGTTGTGGGCTGGCTGTTGAGTCAGGCTCTACAAGGGAGGCTGAGAAGAGATGGCACTATAGTCAAGCTGACAGTTGACAAGAGTTCAGTTGCAGGATATTCACTTGAACAGTAACACCATGAGCATGGGAAGCTGAAGAATCACCACTGTTAGAAGCCGTTGCTAAGGAATTGCTGTCGAAGACACAGCAGGTGGGGAAAGGGTTAGCAGGTGCTGTGATGATTTGTAAAATGTGGAGATTAGCAAGAGCGCTGTAATTACTTTTAGTTCCGAGTGGTGTAGATAATTGGTCAGTAAATCCATTCAGTCTATATCCCATCTATAGTCACACCCCTAATCAATAAATTAATTAGTTCAAAAATTGAAACAAGGCACACACAAAGAAAGCACAGTGGTCATCTCTGTTTTTTTCCAAAGAAAACAAAATAGATTAATTTTGAAATATTAAACCAGAGGAGGATGATGCTTTAGGAAGGCCTCAATGGAGAGGGCAGGATTCTCTTACCCATAACAGGCCATGTAGGCATAATACTTGAGGGGATGATTATGAACTAAATTGAAGCAAATGTTCACTCAAAGGTATTCACAGTGCTACAGACTAAAACCATATTTCCTCTCAACTGTATTTCAACATGAAGGTCATACAATATGGTAATTGGTGTTTGTTTTGTATGTATAGAATGGTCTCTTCTACACCCTGGCAAATAGTGAGGTAATGGCTGCTGTCAACACTGAAGATGGCAGTGAGTCAGGTGTTGGCCATTCTCCACAAGAGGAAGTGGCAGATCTTCGGCGACAGGTAGGTCCATTTGCCATACATAACATTTCCAAAATGAAAGATCCCAATGTTCAGCTACAGAAGAATTGCTAGGATTGTTCATAAAGATTAAATAACACTTATTAAAAGATACTTCTGTGCCAAAGTAAATAAACTTAAACTATTACAAATCAAATATTTTGCATGGCGGTGCAGTATTGTTAACATGTGAACTGCAGGTGGCAGGACAAAGGCATCATAATGTCAACCATGTCAACATCATGAAAAGCCTAGTGCAGTATTCCTCCTTGGGTCAGTCCAGAAATTTGAAAGAGTTATTTTATTAGTTCATGGAATTCATGATAATTAAGTTTTGATGAGCATGTTTTCTTTGATCATTCTATTTACTTGTCAGTTTTCTTTGTCCATCATGGATTATCATTTCAGAAGTTACACAGTAACATTAAGTATGGCTTACAGGTGGTGTTCCTGCAGCAGCAGCTGGATGAGAAGGAACGCACAATACAACTTCTCCAGCTGCAGATGACAAAGTACACAAACTCAGATGCCACATCAAATGCAGCAGGCAAAGAGTCATGCAATGCTGCTACGCAGACCGAGAGGGTATGTATTTCATCTTTACACAGCCATGTACAGGGCTGTTCTAAAGGTGTGTGACAATGCCTGAATCATTACTTTAGTATGAGGGCTATTCAGAAAGTAACCTCCAGTGAGCTGTTAACAAAAGAAGAACTGAGAAAACAAATTATTATATACAAAAAGTATGTACATACTTTAGTCAACGCTGGAACTGAGGTACTTGTCATATCATGGAAGAAGTTTTTGTATGCCTGTGTCAAAGAAGTCTGCTAGAAGAATTCTGTGCAGGGCCATTCAGAACAAAAGGCATGGAATGCTGACATACAGTGTAATGCTCCTCCATGACAGTGCATGTCCACATACAGCTGCTCACATTTATAGTAGTGATGAAATGTCATATACATCACTGCAGTTATATGAGAATCATCATGTATGAGTTTTCATCTGCTGTAACTTGTTTTAAGTCTTGTAAATACATTTTCAGCATTTTTTTACATGAAAAACAATTTTTTGAATACAGTTTGCAGTGATCCATAAAAGTACTCATATTCGTAGGTTCTACTGAGGCAAATTTTCTAAGCCTTTCCCATCACATTGCATTTTTTGAAATGCCTGTTTGGGGACAGTTGGTATGGTTATCAGCAAATGTCAAAATTCAGACTTCAGTTAATTGAAATTTCTTTATACAGGCCATGTTTTTAATAAAATGTAAAGCTATCCCTGTAACAGGCTGTGGAGGTCCATAGGGTTGTGAGATGTTTGGGTTCCCACATTTTCTAGACAGTCAACTCACAGATGGTGAAGAGGTTGTCAGCCTTATGCGCTAGCCACCCTTTACCCCCAGGAAGATTCCTGGTACTCATTTCTGTTAGAGGCTGAGTTGACCCCAGGGTTGTACTGCAGCCAGAAGGATTAGATCAATTGAAAAATCCAGTCACCTCATCAGGAATCAAACCCACAACCAACTATGCTACCACATTCCCCATTTATACTACGTCCTGTTTGCAGGAACCTGCCAGTTGCATGAGAAAACTTACCACATGATTTTCACGTTTTTCTAGTCTGTTACATATTTATATTTTCTGTTTTAGAGTCAAAACATTGTCTGGTTTGGTTTATTCTTGCATGTCAGTCTTTTTAAATGACTTAAGTGGATTTTAGAGTGAAAGATTTTGAGTATGTCATATTGTGGTCATAAATTCAACTAGCCTCTTCTGTAGTTACAGATCATTATGATTGTAATAGCACCTGCATGAGGTTAGTTGATAGTGCTGCTAGTGGTGGCTGGGAGTGAAAACATTTGTGCATTGCAACTTTGTTCGTGAAGTAACTTTATGAGAAATAGTAAGATGGAGGCGATACGTTCCTCTGAAACGTCGGTTAACACCACATATACACGATGTCAAATCCCAGAAGACTGCTTTCTTCAATAGTAAATGTTGTTTGAAATTTTTGCTGGTTTAGTGAGAATTTCAGGCATTTGTATACCAGATAACTAGGAATTTGCCGTAGTTTTATCAGAATCATTTTCAAAATCATGGGAGATTAAATGAAGGTATCTATTTTTGATGTTACTTCCTGCAAGTATGAGAAACTTATTTTGTAGTAGATTCATTGATTTTATATTTTTTTCCTTTTCTTAAAACACATAAAATGGAAGTTATCTTTTTGCTGTCATTGATTAAATGATGTACTGTCATGACTTGATCACAAGAGTCAATGGTTGTCCATGGTAAGAAGAAGAGAAATGAAATAGGAGATGTTTAGTTTCTCTGCCAATGGCTAAACGCAACACGTGCATATAATATAATATTGTGACGTGGATGACGCAATGGTAAATGGAGGTCACGTGAACTCTGCGTTTCCTCGAGTGATGTCAATGCCCCCACTCCTTCCACCAGTATGCAACGCTCGGTAAATACCCCCTCCCCCGCGGTGACGTGGCAGAAGAGCGACTGTGTTGTTACCAAGGGATAACCGCAGTTGCTACCCAGCAGGAGAGAACTCTCGACAGGATTGCTAGCAACACCGGTAAACACGTGACAATATAATGAATTTGTTTCAGGTTCGGCCAGTGTCAGCAGGACCATCCCTCCTCCAGTCACTGCCATCGGAAAATAACATGGGACCTCTTGTGAGGTACATAAGTCTTTTATTCTTTTGTGAAATGCACCTTGGAAGTTTCTGTCAGTTGGCATACAGAACAATGCTCATTTGTGAAGTCAATTGTGGAAATATTTCAAACTCTGGGTCTGTGAAGTACCCTTTGCTATCCGTTAAATTTAACTTTGAATGTGGGAAATACATGAACTGATTCATGATTCATGGTGGGGGAAGGAGGAAAGAGATCCATGACTAGTTTACAAAGTCAGTCTCCTCTTTCTGATAAGCATCTTCTGCCATCCTGACACAAACCAGAGCAACAGCTCTCTTTACACCTAATTTAAAGTATTGAATCTTTTCAATAAATATGGCCATGTTAATGGAGTTTTAACTATTTGTAATGCCTGCTGCTACAGTTAATAACTGTTCAACTTTTTAGAGCCCAGCAAAATGTCATGTATGAAGTGAAATCCCAGCTTAGGACTGGGGTTGTGATGACATGTTGGCTGACGGGTCTGTTGTATACTAGGGATTGTATGAGATGGATGTGAAACATTGGTAGACTTATGGTTTGACAGGAGAAACGAAAGTACTTAGAGATAAACATGTACTATTGCCATTTTACATCACAAGCCCCATGTAAATTGCCCTGCGATTGAATCTGGATGTCTGTGATAAAGAAACCAACCCTTACTTTCTGAGCCATGGCACTGTCATGTAACCCAGTACCACCATAGTGTGCTGTTTTAGTTTATTAACACCATGGAGAATGAGCCATCTTATCACAGTACCGATCATAATGTATTGTAATGTACAGACATGGATGAGTAAACAGCCTTAGTTGCCCCAGTCAGATCACTACCATGTCCATTGTGCCCCTCTGATCTCATTAGGGCCCTAAAACGATATCTGACCATAATGTTAGAGTGAGAACATTTTGATTGAAGCCCTCCTGGTACCTGTCAGCTAAAACCATGAAATACCCATGGTTATAAGGTGTGCTATTGTCAAATGTGTGATCCTCTCTTTCCCCACAGTTAGGAAACTGCTGTATTGATTGATTTTATTTCAGACGGACTCAGCAACAGTAATTGTTACTTTTACATGTCTGGCTGGATGCTGCAGCTTCAGGATAGGGAAGGTAGAGTGTGTCTCCCAAGTGGACCTTGGTTTTGGTGTGATGATTTTGTTAGCTGTAAACTTGCTATGTTTCCTACACTTACTCCACTGTTGCACACTGTGTGCATCCTAATCTTACCTTGTCCCTTATGCCATCTGCTGCTTGAATGATATTTAGATGGGAAGTGGGAGCAGGACTGGTTTTTGTGAAGAGAGTTTCTCAGGTGTTCCAATAAATTTTTGCCCAGGGTGATGAAATAACATTTGTCAGCCCTGCATGCCTTTAAAGTGTGTGCAGAAAAATACCTGACAACAGATATTTTCATTTCTAGTTGTGCAGTTTTGCTTTCAGAGTTTGTGACCAAAATAGTTAGCCTTTTCACAGAGAGGCAGGCCTGGCCACCAGAAAAATTGTTGTCCAGTACAGTAGCACTGTAGGTACTGGGTTTAAATCTCAGCTGTTTTGTCTGAGGTTCTATATTTTTTGGTTTCCTCAGCCTCGCTTTGCAGCTACTGGAATAGTATCTTGAAATAGGTCATGACTCTCTTTTTATGTACTCACGATTCATGACAAATATTCTGATCACATTTGGTGCTGTATAACCTCTGCGGTTAAAACATCTTTGAATAACCTAAAAGAGTGTGAACTTATCAGGAACATAAATAATATGCTCATACAAAAGTATATATGAAATTCCATGTAGAATTTTAAACAAGCGCCAATGTGAGAAGTTTTCATAGTTCCGTTTTAAAATGTTCAGATGTGACCATGGCTGGAAGTTAATCAGGCTACCCTTGCAGTATAGGAACTAGGATAGCTCAGTCAGTAGAATGACTGGCTACAGGTTAGACAACAGACTTCAAGTCCCAACAGGGACAGGAGATCTTTTACTTCACTTTTGTGTTCACACTGGTTTTTGGACCCATCCAGTCTCCTATCCAAGGATGTCAGGGGCTCTTCCTTAGGGGTAAAGTGTCTGGGGCATGAAGCTGATCACTCACCTCCATCAAGAGCCAAGGTGAAGAATGCATGGAGCTATACCTGTGCACCCCTGTATGTCTCCATGGCATGGTGCTTAATCAAACTTTACCTTTACTCTTGCAACCTGGATATTTTCTGACCAACAGAATGTTACAACCATACTAAAATATTAATATATTTAAAGTTTCGAGTTAGAGAAAGGAATGTTTATAAAAATTATATGAGTATATAGTGGGGAGAGATGGACTGAGGGACATTTTGTTCAATTTTGTCTATTTCATATTTTCATTATAACATATTCTACCTGTATGCAGGAGGAATGTGATAACAATTTGTATGATATGGCATGCCTGTATCAAATATCTATTATTGTCACAAGAAACAGTAAAGTTTCATCAGTACATTGCATGTTTATTCAGCATATGTGAAATTAAAAGTTAGAGGGTGCATAACTGAGTAAGATAAGTCTAGTAACCCATAGATCTTTGATACTATAGTAATCTCCCCATTATCCAGCATGTATGGAAATGGAATGTTCCAATTACACGAGAAAAACTACAGAAACCCATTGCAAAGTCAAAACACATTTTTGCTTTAGTTCTTGTATGGGGGTCATCCTATACAACATATCTGATTGACGGGTGAAATGTTTCAGTTACAATACTGTAATTCCACCATACATTTGAATAACCTCTACTTTAATGACACATGTGAGGGAGGAGAGTGGGTAGCACTGTTGGTGGTAGCTGGGAGAACATATGTATATCACAAATATATTTTTGAGTAACTGTATAAATTGCATACTCTGTTTCATTTGTTTGGTGGTTGAATGAGAATTCTGAATGGTTGGATACTGGATAACTGGGAGTTAAGTAAGCAAACCACTAGCTTGATGTACGAATCATCAAATAGATCAACACCTGTTGATGGAAGGTGATGTTATCTTTAGTCTGGAATATGAATGCTGCTATTAGACACAAAACTGTCATGTTGTAGTCAGACTGGAGAAAAATCATAGTATGTCTGCTTTAACCCCTTAATGATAATGCAAGTGCATTTGTGTGTAAGTAAAGAGTTGGCTGAATAGTGTATGCACATTTATTAGTTTGCTCGATGTTATTAGATTGTCATATGCTGCTATCTTTTATTATTTGGCCAAAAATAATTGGTGAATGTATGCTCTTTTGATTTTATAGTTATGAATAAAAACAGATATGAAGTGTTACTGTCTTATGGGATGTGGCAACATGTAGTCTGATAGATGTTCACTGACAGTTCAAGGAACGTTTGTAAACTTCTATCAGATTACATGGCATTGCATCCACAAGATAATACTCTGTGTAGTCAATGATGTGAAAACCTCAGATCTCACATTAAGCAAACCTAGCCATGCATACTAGCTAAATTGATAATTGGGGAAACAATTAATTTCAGTATCATGCTCATCTGTGTTTTTGGCATCAGAGGAGTTATCTATTATGAATCTTTTCGTATGAAACAGTCATAAAGTTTTCAAATATACTTTATAGGGCACATTACAGAAAAAGATAAAATCTTTGGCAAGAGAAATGTATATTGCATGATGTCATTATGTCTTTACACACAGCACTTTTGGGGAAGTGATTTTGAGTGAGATACAAATACCAGTGTTGAAACATGTTCTGTACTTGCCTTAATTGAAGCCATGTGACCATTTCAGCAGATCTCCTTAGTATAATTTTATTTGAAATTACTTGAAGACATTTAAAGCATTGTGACAACATTACTGAAAAGACTTGCAGCAGTGATTTCTAGACATGGCAAACATGTTTGAAGGTATGAAGTCAAAAGGCAAGGAATTTGAATGTGACAGCATTCACTTAATGTTAACAGCATTACTTTTTCATGAACTTTGCCCCTTTATTTCATACCTCAGGCCTTATGTTTTTATCATACATGAGTTGTAAATCTTCTGATTCAGTCCCTCATCCATTGCAGATTAAAATTCTGCTTCATGAGGTTCATCGGGCTGAAATAAAAGTACTTTAAATGTAACTAATAAATCCTGAGGTTGAGTAAAATAATCTGGTATAAAGAATTCCATCTCTTTAATTCGCTGATTTTATGTGGATGATCTAAAGCTTATCTCTAGTATTAAAATTAGCTGGAATTGTATTTTTTTTTTTTAAGATTAAGTTATTATCTCTGATGACTACATTTTCTCTCTCTCCCATCTTGCTGTCCCCTTTGAAATAGTTCTCGGGGGACTTAATGCGGCAAGTCACTGACCACACCATTTAATAATTAAAGTGAAAATATAGTTCCTCAGAAATACAGTTCACATTTTAAAGTAAAGATATTACTTTGGATTTGGTACCCAAAAATGTTCTATTTTATGCCTGTCAAAAGAAGGCATGGAAAATCACGAAGTCAGTGAGGACTTGAATGAAGAACTACCTATGTTATAAAAAGAACATAGAGTACAACCAAATAGTAACACTAGACACATGAAACTAAGGAATTAGATACTTCAAAGAACAGAATTTAAATTGAGTAAGTGAAGCATTAAACACAGACTTGAATGCTATGAGAAAAATGAATGTCATAAATGATGTATGTTCTTTTTCAAAACTCCATTCATTGTTGTAGCCTTTAAATGGTATCAGGCAGATTTAAAGACAACTATTACTAAGATAAGGGAACTGCTGTAAAAATTCATGAAACATCATCTTCAGACACCTATGATAAAACAGGCTTATTAAATATTGTAGGCTATGTACGAATTTAATTTTAAAAATGAGACATTTCTTTCATAATCATAACATTATGAAGGAGGTGAATAAGGAAGATGATGGATTTACTGCATTAACGTTGAATGACCATAATTTTTAAATACCTACAACTTTCCTGAAAACGAGGGGTGGAAACGTGAAAGCAAGCATATGTACATTTACAT